GACCTTACTTTGTAAAGTGTCCTGAGATGACTTTTGTTGTGATTTGGTGCTATACAAATAAAATTTGATTTGATTTGATTTGAAAAGCTACAGTAATAGCTAAAATAGCATACTTGAATTTTAAAAGTAAAATAAGTAATCGGTTTTATGCTTTTCTTGTATTGACTAAAATTACTCTACTCACAACCTCTTTGGGTTCTGAAGAATGAGGCTGGTTGAATAAAGTTTTTTTAATATATATATATATCCAGAAAAATCTCATAACTTGTTGTTAAAAGAGTGGTGCTGGGTGGTGTGCAGAAAGAAGCTGAGCATTTGTTAGAGTCCCATGGCTTCAAGCCCTGGGAGGCGTCATTGTGGCATCCAGCAGCTTTATCAGGCTGCAGTCCTTGGTCAGTCTGTTTGCTGAGGCTGGCAGCCCTGCTGGGCCACAGTTGAAGCTCTTTGCAGGGGGGGGCAGGGATCTCAGCAGCCCTTGTGGTGGTGAAATTCTTGATTTGAAGGGATGCAGTGTCCCCAGGTAGTCAGCAAGTGTATTATAACAAGCCGCAACCTAGGGTTTTTATGCCATATTTACTCTCCCTAAAGGGACATCCACCATTAGGTAATGCTTAATCAGCACTTTTAACTTTTCCCGAAATGGACATCCTTCATTAGATCAATGTCGGTCAGAAGATAAGCCCGGCAGAGCTACTGATGTCATGATCAGCTTGTGAAGCATACTAACATCCTCTGTTCTCCTAAGTTCATTCATTGATTAACATTATTTATACTCTCGTGCTCAATATGTCAAAGTCTATTTTATATCGAGCCTCCATTTCATTGTATGATGAAAGCTAACAATCATGTTAACTCTGAACTTTCTGTAAGTTTAACACTGCCATAGGTTTATCATTATTGTTTGAGAAGTGAATTACTTTTAATGGGCATTATAAGAGTCGAACATGTGGTAATAGTTTTTATGTGTCTGACAGCCTATTAACCTTGCCAAGATGGCAGCAGAACAGTTGTTATTGCAAGGGTTTTAGAGGATGCAGAACTTTTTCAGCAGATGATAGTCAGACCATATCATTATAGAGTTCTTGCTTGATCCGACCAGATTTTATGAACAGATTTTCTGCATATTTTATAGGTATGTTTCACTTTAAGCTGGCAAGTGTAGAATGTATGCATTGATGTTACTTTTCATATGATGCAACCTGTCTTTCTCATGATAGGGAGAGCATTTGACTGCACAATGGCCTTTACAATTTTTTCAAGGTGTTTGTCCTTTTTTTCACCTTGTTGTTGCTGATATTTCTCGCACAGGAGGGAGTGTCTGTGGTGATCTCCACATACAGTGATGTTAAGTGGATACTCTGAAAAGGAGAGAAAAAGGGCACGAAGGGAGAAACCAAACCAAAATGACTATGTTCCTACAGGGGAGACAGAACAAAATTAAATAGTGATTTGTAATGTATATAGTTTTCACATGCTCATGACCAAGCAGATGTGAGCAGCAATCTGTGCATAATGTCAGCAGTGTGTGTCCTGGCAGTGTTTACACCATCCTTCTTTACATCCTTACTCTGTAAATAAGACTTGTTTTGATTCACTGCTGTCTTACTCTTTCAACGAGGAATTCAAAAAATTCCCAGGTTTTCTCTGCTCGTGGATCACGTTGCCATGACAACTGAGATGAGCTGAATATTCTGGCAGGCATCACCTTCGCTGTCTCACCTCTGGTGGCTGGCACTCCAGCGTCACTGGTCCAAAGCTGCTGACAGTGGCTCAGTAGGTGGGCTAGGAAGGTGGGGACGGGGAGAAAATAAAGGTGATGGGACAGGAAGATGGGCAGAGAGAGGGAGAAAGTAAAGATGGAGAGCTGGCTAATTGGCCCTCTGGGTCCCTATGCTGTCTTAATGAGGAATGCCAGCGCTACACTTAGATGAAATAGAGGCAGCTGCAAAGTGATGGCAAGGAGTCATCCCAGTGGACGAGAAAAATACACAATGTCTTGTTTAGGAGACTCACTGACCTTGTAACTGTTTGAGAAAACAGCTATCGGTTCTGACTGATTTCAGACATGGGTAAGATTTCTTTGACTGTGAGTTGCCTTTATTTACTGTATATAGGTTGATTAAATTTACTTGTATTATAGAAGGAATGCATGACAAACTGATTAGGGGAAATAGAGATTCTTCAGTTTTAGTAACATCTCAAACATTAAGATTTAGCATATGTTAAATTAAAATCTCTTCATTTGATGAGCCCAAAAGTTTCAGGGAGTGTTTGGCATTGCCCAAAACATGCATATGAACTGCAGACATAATTAGGAGACACCTACAAAAAGAATTGTGGCAAAGTAATGTCTGCTACAAAGTCACAGACAGCTTGCCTGTAAATTATTTGCATACTAAACGATGCATGGTAACAGCAACTCAAATGAATGCAACAGTGAATAGGCCTATTTTAGAAACTGAATGCCAAGAGACCAAGTGAACTGTCTCTTTCTATATTCTTGGATAAAGATGATTACTTCAAACCATGTGCATCTGTGCAACATGCCTCCAAGTCAACCAGTCATACAGTCTACTCTTCCAAATGTGATTAATTTGTTTAAAAAAAAACAGTAAGGCATTAAAGTTTCTAGATTAATTGCATGTGTTAGGGTTGACAGTTCTACAGTATGTATTCATGCATAAAAAATAAAATATGGTGTAATTTGATGTAATCAAATGTGATTAATTTGTTTTAAAAAAAACAGTAAGGCATTAAAGTTTCTAGATTAATTGCATGTGTTAGGGTTGACAGTTCTACAGTATGTATTCATGCATAAAAAATAAAATATGGTGTAATTTGATGTAATCATAATGCTTTATTTTAATTTTGTCTCCTGCATTAAATGTGTATACTCATTTAATAACTAGGGAAAAGTTACTGCTCCACTACTTTACTACATATTGGGTTTCAATAAGGTAAGATGCCAAGAGACCAAGTTATCATGTTAATTCTGGATAAATGTGGAATCATCTTAATTCCCCTCTGTGTGTTGCACCATTCTTCTGCCTTTGCCACTGACCACTATATTGCCTGACTGATTCTGTACCAGCTGATAAAACTGTACTTACAATGCCAGAACATTGGATTGGTTATGATCAGTCCTGTCCCTCAACTGAATGTTATCCTGTGGAAAGTTGATACTTAAATTTGTCCACCATTCTGAGAAGTTTGTTGCTTACCTCACCTGCCATCTTGTGTGAAAGGTTTTTACCTTACCTGTGTCTGCCATTTTGAGAAGTGTACTGCCTGCCTTACCAGCTATCTTGAGTTTGAATACCTATCAGGTAAGATGCCTCTTACTTGTTTTTCCCTTTTGTGTACTTAGTGCTAGAGAGTGATTTTTTTTTTTAGCTGAATTACTTGCCATTCCAGCCAAGTGTTTGCTTACCGATATTTCCGGCCTGTCTGCAGTGCTAATCCCAGAAAGCAATACTCACCTTAGACTGCTTCTTACCAGCACTGTAATATATCCCTGTAAACCTACCTAATCCCGCTGTGTTACTAGCACTACTGTTCTTCTTGTCCCCCATTATACTTATTCCATTGTTGTGGTTTTCTTTTAAAGCCCAGTACTGCTTGTATTTCTGTATTTTGATTCTTAAAAGTTCTAAAAATGTGCCAATTCTGTCAATCTCAGTTATATATGTAGAGGGGTATGTGTGTGTGTGGGTGTATATACACCCATAGGACAAGCAATACAATTACTATGTGTGGAAGTAAATGAGAGCTTAGAGAATGACATGCATAACACACAGAAGCTGTCTAATGCATCTGCACTCAGGGGCACCCATCACTATCCAATTACATTTTATTTGCTAAGCTTCCCCTGGTCATAAGTATGTGATGCTATATTGATCAAACCAGTGAAATCAAATCAGTGTTTCCAATGCATACACTTAACCTGAACTTAACCTTGAAGCAGGCTCTGGATGCTGCAGAGCAGATATTATCCAGGATATCAAAGTATCGATTACACAAATTGATCACAAGCAAATTAAATCCATCAGTTATAGCCCTAAAGCATGTTATAATAGTCATGATGGGACGTACTTTCATATACTTCAGCAGCAGCTCCTCCAGTGGATCTTGGGTGACTGCTCCACTTAAAGAATTTTTTGTTAATCTCGTGTCCAATAAAAACATTTTTTTCTTGTCTTTGTAATAAAATGCATGTATTGGTATGTAGGCAAAATAATTTATTCACAGTAAAAGGAATTTGTTATTTATACATCATGATAATTGGAAGAAAATCAGGGGTTTTCAACTAATTGTGTCTCAGGATCCACCATTCTGACTAAGAAGTAACCTGAGGGTGGATAGACCACATGGGCACTATTAGGTTTTATATATTTACATAAATTTGATTAATCACAAACAATAAGTAATACATGGAAATGTGTTTTAAAAAATTATGATTGAGAGAAACTATATTATTGAACATATGTTCAGGGACCATCTTCACTGCCTTTGTGGACCACCAGGGGGCCACGGACCACTGTTTGAAAACCCTTGATTTAGGGGTCTCGGTGCCCAACAACAACATAAAAATGTATGTTGTTATGCTATGCGTGCTTTGCATACAAAGGGCAGTAAATACCACACTGGCTGTAGTTTTGTGTGCTTAAGCTTTTGTAAATAAGGCCTGCTATGCCTCATCATTTCTCATCCCATCTGCTTTCTATCTGACCCAGCTCCTGCTCCTCCTGTCCCCCCTGCAGAGAGAGTGTCAAATGGACATCTGACCTGCCTTACTGGGTTTCGTTCCGGGTCACTCCTCCCAGTGAGTCTGCGGGTCACAAGTATGTAAAAGTGAAAGGGCCCTGACACGTTTGTGGTGAAAACACTTACTAATAACTCATTTTTGTGCAGACTGTGAATGCTGACACGTAAGGAGGTTTGGTTGCCCTGCACAGAACAGTGCTCAGGTGCTGTTTGTAATCCAGAAAAGGTCCAATATTTCATAGTTCTGAATCTTCTGAAGTGGAAAGTCAGTCCCTTTTTTGTTGTTGTTGATGTACAAAGTTAATTTTCTATGAACTAACTCAAAAATGAGAATGATTGCTTATTTGGATGTTTAAGCTTTCTAACTTTCAAAAGCAGAGACAGAGACCGGAATTATAATATTTTGTCTCATTTCTAAAATATTATGCAGTAAATGCTTTTGCCAGCAATTTATTTTGTTGTTGACAAGGAAAGCCAGAAGATTTTATTGTGAAAGTTGTTCATGTGTTGGGACTTTTTAATAATAGTTAGAAAATGAAAATAAGTGTATTTTGGTTCTGGGTTATGTGACTTACAATGCGGGCTAGGCCTATAGGAATAAGAAAATAATAAAAGTTTTATTCATTCATCTAGTGTGAAATTACCTGATATCTTTATGGGAGTGATAGGTTAAAGCCGTATTATATTTTGTCTCGAACCAAGATTCAGAGGGTTGATTGTTGCAGTTTTCAACCTTCAAAGTCAGGTCGAGGGTATTTCTCAGGTCTGCATTGTTTAAAATCCAGTTGCAGGAGGTTTTCAGCCCGTGTGACACAGTGTACTCTGTAGGAGGAGATGCCAGAGGGAGAGTTAAGACCCAAATTTACTCACATTTTCCCGTGGGCCCCAGAAATTCCAGTCAGACCAAAGTCCTTTCCTGTATGGACAACACAGGACATACCGCTGGAGGCGATGAAGGGTTTGGGGGGACAAAGCTTTCTTTCACAGCTTCAAGCTCAGAGACCAGGTGAAGAGAGAGAAACTGGTCATTTGATTCCCACCCCAGGTCCTGTCATGGGAAAGTGGAAGAGTCATAGAGAAAAGAGGGAGGTCAGTGGGTTTCCCGAAGACAGGGGAAAGAGAAAGTGAGGAGAAAGGACAGAGGGATAAAAAGAAAAGGGAATGAATGGGGTCAGCAGGTGAAGACAGAAAAGGAAGAAGACATAAAAGAGCGAGATGTGAGTGTGTTAGTTAAGACAAATGGGGAAAGTAAGAAAAGTCAGCGCATGAGATGGTAAAGAGGGTGCTACTGTGTTTCAGGGCAAATGAGAAAAAACACAGCGGGAGTGAGTGGAAAAAGAGAAGGACTGAGTAAAAACCATAAAGGAAAAAAAGAAGTTGTGGCAAGGATAAGAAGCTGTCTCATCTTCTTACACCTGACTCTCTCAGCCAGACAGCTCGGGTTTAAGAGCTGTGGGCAAACAGATACTGTAGCACATGGCATGCTGGATAAAAGCACTGACACAGTCTGCAGAGTTCAAGTGGTCTTACTGATGTAAATGATATCACAGACAAACGCAAACAAGGTTATATTTAGTACAAAACTCAGTAGGAAAACCTCCATCACTCACTGGTGTTAGAAATATTCTCTGTAGTGGCTAAAGAGATGTCAAATGAAACCTCTAACCACATTTAATAGTCTGATCTAAAGCATTTGTTACTTCATTGGTACTACAAAAATTTACTACCCCTAACTTGGATGGCTTATTCATGATCCCAGTAACGCCATGTAGTTCAATAACAATTGTTTCTTCCACTGACAAGAAGTGTGTCACCACATTTTTCTCTTTACTATTTTAAGATTTTCAATAAACTCCGCTTTTTAGGAACATTGTAGGTTTCCTCAACTAAAACTAGACATACCAAGGAGGAAAGGTCTGATAAAATGAAATCCACAGGTTCTTCCACTGGAAAGTTTCAGCCCAGAATCCTCCTTTCTTTGCCATGGTGATATGTTGTGCAGATGTTGAGAAAAGCTTTCCATCTCACTGCAAAGCATAACAGCAGCAGCGGAAGTCCCCTAGGAGAGGTTCACGCTCTGAAACTCGCCAATACACACACACACGTGCAATGCAGAAACGCGTGTAGACACAAATATGAGCATGCACACTCACAACATTCATTTACAGACAAGCTCAAATACCCTTGTATTGTTAGACAAACCATCAAATCAGACACAGTCTCTGGTTCTTGTGAAGACACATGCTTCTCGCACTAAAGGAATGTGTAGATATTAATCCTGGCCATATTCATTTTCCCAGATTTTCAGTGATTCATAATGTTTTAAACAGGAAAACTGTGGTCTGGAAATTTCATCAATTATTTTTTTCATTATGAAATATGAAGGCAGTTGCATATCAAGTTCCATTCACATACAAGTGGAGATATCCATTGTAATCTAAAATATTAATTATAGCCACTTTAAAGGGGTAGTCCAGTGAGTTAGTATTGTTTCTTTTATATATATATTTGTAGCCTCTAATTTTTCAGAATTGGTTTCAGAACCACAGATTGTTTTCCATGTTGTTTTCATAGTAAACAACGTGGAAATGAACTGATCTTCCTCTATAAAACAATTCGTCAATTGCTACAAATTGACACATTATTTCAGAACTGAAGACGAAACAAACCATTGAGGTGTCTCGATAGATCCAGCCCGTGGCTTATCACTGACAAACGAGATACAGTATGTACTGCGTATGAAGTTGCTATTCACACAAAGCCCAAAGACATCCTACTGTACGCGCTACATCCCTTCAAGTGAATTTTAATAGAGCCTAAGAGAAGGAACGCCATGAAGCTGCTGGTAACTGGAAAGTTCATGAAATTACAGATGGAGTCAATTTTATGATCCTGTTTCACAGTAGTCAGCGGGAAATGAGAGCTTTGCTTTCATGGCCATGAGCTTGAGCAACAGTTCTACTGTGAGGAAATTCCTAAACTCCTTGTACCGTCTGAAGTGGTTGTAGTTTTTCCTCCTTAGACATTTGTTACATTTTACTGTATAATACAATGCAGGAAATTGGCAGGTGCAAAAATTCTACAGTATAGTCATTTGAATCCACCTTTGCCTTTTCTTATATATCGTGATATTTTTAAGAAATGCACTCCCTTGGCAAGTAATGATCAAATTCCGTTGTTGATTTTATGAACTATTTATATAAGGCATAGAATGAATTCAAGCTTAAGATAAACCTGTTTTGCTAAAAACAAATCTGTAAATTTTGAGAGTAGGAGTGATCCTTTGGAGTCTCTCCCACACCTGACTGACTGTCAGCTTTTTCCATGATATCACTGCAGGCTTTGAGATATAGTTTTCTTTGTTTTGCAGTGCTCTGCTCCTCCAGAGCGAGAAGGGAGGAAGATGTGAAGATTCTTGTTGAGGGGGTAGAACAGGCTTGCATCTTTCAAATAATACAATATCAGCTTCTCTTTTATCAACTCACCAGCCACATCGGCCCAAACATGTCCTCCAATATCACTTCAGTCTCACTCTGCTGGTTATCTCTAGATTCTTTTTTCAACAGACACCAGAGTTCACTAAACATAAAGTGAATGTGAGGCACCACTGCTGTCGCAGTATTAAAAATGTTTGGTGTATGAAAATATAAGATGTTTAACTGGCAAAAAAGCAGCACCTCAAAACACTCACCAGATGATGAACAGCCTCGTCTAACTGCAGCAATGTGCAGGACAGATGTCTGTCTGCGGCATAGGAGGTAGCATTAGAGCACTGATTCCATTTCTTAAAACACTCCTGTCCTCTCCCTCAAGAAAAAATAGCAACAAGTCTTTAAAGGCAAAGACACAGCACAGTAGGCCCCAGCCTAGTACTTAAAGAGGAGTAATCACAGGTTGTGTAGCTGGCACAGAGAGGGAAGCGGCTGGCTGTAAACCTTGACCTGATCACACACTAATGAGCTTTTGTATATACACACAGGGTAACTGTTGTTTGCTTTCCTCTGACTTTATTTACTTTCAGTTGTAAACTGTGCAGTCCAAGGTTTGCCAGATCTGTCCAAGTTCCTGTCTGACTGCTTCTTTGCACTTGCTGCCATTAACAGAAGCCCAGAACTACCTCTGTGCAAGGCACTGGCAGAAGGTAGGTCAACAGACAAAGCTAGCCTTGTCTTATATTGGACAAAGGCACAGACATCTCATTGTGGAACTGTCAGTGCTGAAACTGTACTTATGGGACTTGAAAGTGTAAAAATATCAAAAGGTGAAATGATACTTTTATTGTTTGTTCTTTCTTTTATTTCAAATGAAGATTAGCTAATAAACTTTAGTGGCAAATGGTGATGAAGCTGCTTCATATTTCCTCATTGCACTTTCAGCCCATGTGTTAGTATTTAATCAAAGTGACTTTTACAAGCTCATACAAAACTCCACAGGAAGTTTGGGCCATTGTATATCTTAATTAAAGGCCTATGTGGGGGATATCTTCAACAATTAATCTTTCATCCTTCAGCTATGAGAGCTCCTAACACATGATGTATTAATTAGGAAACAATGCTCTCTTTCTCACAAGCAGAGACGGACCTAGAGAGAGGGTGGAACGGTGGGTGGGGGTGTGGAGATAAGGGGGTGGAGTAATGAAGCAAATCCCTGCTTCCTATTGGAACAGGATTATAGACTTGTTTCAAAGTAAGGCACACTATCAATACAATGGTGAGAAACTAAAAGAATAGTCAAAATAAATGAGTGAAATAAATGTAGATTCTGCTGTTCAGGACTCAAGTCACTGAGGGTGAAATTCACCTAAATTATGCTGTGACGTTCACAATCGCCAAATCTCTGCACAAATGAAGACCTATGGGAGATTTGGAGTGACAGAACGCTTCATGCAAACAGAAAGTGAAAACAAGCTGTTGGTTTTCTGTTAATTTGTCGCCCGTCTGTATTTCAAAGTAGGATCTTCTTGATTTTGATTTAATGTTTTGCACTGTCTAGTGAAAGCTTTGTCCAAATTTGAAGGACATTTAATCCTTCAGATAAACTGAGAGATTAAATGTTCTTTTATGAACTAAAAAAAAAGTTCTAAAATAGTAAGATTATCCAGTAACTTGCAAGATATAAGAAACTCTCTGTAGAGGAAATATACTTTTTCTGCTTTTCTCTACTGTTAATCAGATTTCCTAAAATTTATCTTTTGCAGCTATCCTGGCCCCCAAATTGGAATCCACTGTGATCAGGAAATATCGGCAGGTTTTTCCTCACTTGCACAGTTTGACCAGAACTAACACTACTGTCATCTGGTAATCCTCTTATCTGAAAACTGTGGCAAAGAAAACCCTCTCGCTGCTCTTGGTGTTTGTATTATCTTCCACCTTACACTGCTCTACTTTCTTCTTAAAACACCCTTTCTCTCCCTTATTTTTCTCTCTCTGTATGGATTTCTGTTTTATATCATGCTCTACCTTTACACACACATACACACAGCACCACCAAAAGGTTTGCCAGTGCACCGTTTGTGTGTGAGAATGAATGTAGACATAGAGGCTCTGTAGAATATTCAGGAAGTTAATTTTGGACAACTTCCACGAGGTATTCTGGAAAGATCCACTTCCAGCCAAATCAAATTAGAACCTCCAGAAATTGTAAGAGTTTGCAGCTGAATGAGATCCACCTCATCCAGCTGGTCCCTGGGCGTCTGTTTTCTGTTTATTGTCTGCTTATCCAAAAACACGCCACCATCACAGAGCACCATCACACATCATAAACACCATGCTCCAGACCTGTGGGTGCACTTGTATGTTTTCATCACTAGGGGTCTCTCCAAGAACTTGCTGAATGAGAGTCAGGTTGCTCAGAAAAACAGACAATTAGGAAACCAACTGGTTCCAAAATAAACTTACTTTGTCAAGTAGGGGGAGGGCGAGTATGTAATCTCATGACCAGCGACTCCATCAGTGCAGCCTGGAAGTGGGCAGCAAGTGTAATGTCTCTTTATACCTGAGAGGAGGCAGGAGAAGGAGACAGCTTTCCCTGAGATTTCTCCACCTTTCTATTTCTCTCTCAGTTTCAATTTCAGTTTGCAGTGTTTCCTCAAAGATAGCCCTGTCCAATTGTATATAAAGTAGAAAAATGACTTCCACCTTGACCAGCTGTTTACATGTCACTGTAAATACAGTGTAACCCAGCAGGAGACAGTCTGCCTCTATAATGACTACTTTTATTCTTGTCACTTTTAGTACATTTTGCTGCTGCCGCTGCCGTCCTGTCAGGAAAGATGCAAAAAAGCAGATGATACTGGCAGTGTTCTAACTTCATTAGCACTACAGCCAAAACACAAATCAACTTTAGTAAAGTTGTTTCAGACCTCACAGATTCTCTACCACAAATCTGATTTGAACTTATACTGTGACTTCCGTGTTGTCTGAAGTGCTGAATGGTATAATAAAAGCGGCCTGTCAGTCAGTGCTTCCTTATTGAGTGTGATCGAGCTTCAGCCAAATGTCTGGTGCCGAGTCGAAGCCCAGAGCATTATTAAGTGCGTGTGTAGCACATATCTGGAGCTTGTCTGACAAAACCACCTGGTACTGTGAAACGTGGGTACCAGCAGTATCTGTAACATAGCTGCAGCTCGATAAGGCACTGATGTGACAACATGTCTTCAGTTACAATGAGATGATCGCAGGCTGACAGGCCACTTGTCACATTTGTCAGTTTTCTGTGAAACACTGAGATTTTTATTTCTCTCTGAAAAACAAAAAATGGCTATTCCAGGATGAATTATATCATGAATTAAATATTAAAATGGAAGACATATCACTTCTAACCCTTTTACTGTGTATACAAAGGACCTTTCTCCTTATTCCTCCCAATCTTATGGAAACCCTTCTATCTCAAATCTTATTTTAAGCTTCTCTCCTCACTGAACTATTGTAACTTTTCTTAGAGCCTGAACAATGTGCCCACATTTCTCACCCACTTACATCTAAACAGGAACTTTAAAAGTATAGCCTTTAACACTGTGTGTGTGTGCGCATATCTATCCATTATTGTAGTCGTGTATGGGTGTGCATTGCTTCACAGTTTATGCGTACATGTGATTTTCTACATTACATTTGTTCCTAGGTATCAATTTGGTGAGGAGGACTTGACTTGGTGGCCAGTAATAAACTTCTATTCCAGTGCTGCCTGTGCAGTGGCCTTCACCACAGGCAACCATGTGGCTGACCGCATGAGCCACCACAGGGAGAGCCGTACATTTGACTGGTATGAGTCACTAACTCATTACTACAGATCTCTGACACATGGAGACAAAGTCATGCATCAAGCTGTGAGACCTCAAAGAGCTTTGAATTTTTAAATATATTTAACAGAATCAGGCTTGACAAGGTAACAGCCTCTCTGGTATACTCATAGATATGTATAGTAATGCAGTGGTGGAAGTAGTTCTAAGATCGCTTATTTAAGTAAAAGTAGCAATACAAGAATAGTTAACGCTGTTGCCTTACAACAAGAAGATTCTGGGTTCAAGTCCTGGCCGACCCGGTGCCTGTCTATGTGGAGTTTGCCTGCGTGGATTCTCTCCGGGTACTCCGGCTTCCTCCCAGAGACATGCAGCTTAGGTTGACTGGCATCTTTAAACTCCCTGTGTGGTTGTTTGTCTACGTGTCAGCCCTGTGATAGACTGGCGACCTGTCCAGGGTGGACCTTGCTTCTTGCCCAGTGTCAGATAGAATAGGCTACTTGTGAATTTCCCATGAGGAAGTAATAAAAACCTATGATTACACTGTATTTTATGTATTAATCTGGTTCTGAACTAAAGTTACAAAATAAACATAGTGAAGTAAAAAGTACAATATTTGCCTCTAAAATGTAGCAAACTTAAAGTATAAAGTACAGATACAGTACCTCACAATTGTACCTAAGTGCAGTACTTGAGTAAATGTACTTAGTTATTTTCCACCTCTGGTAATATGATGCTATGCACAAATTATAATTTCAGCATATTATGAATTTCTGTGCAGAGCAAAATGTATTTACAACTGTTTGTTTGTTTACACTCCAGATGTTAAATGCACAATTTTGCTTTATGGCTCCATATTCTAACCAAGTATTATCAATGAGATGTTACACCCCTAAGTACTGAGAGTTTTATTCATTTCTTTATTACAAAGAAATCAAATCAATAAAACCAACAATGAATTACCCTACTAACAAATACTGTATGTGTATCCCCATACCTCATTCATCTTTGTCAACTCTATTGCCCGAAAACGATGAAAAATGCCAGTGAGCTGCACTGTTGTTGCACTGGGTGACATCTTTATTCATTACCACAAACACAGACACTGCATGTTTATTTTGAGTCATCCCCGTATACACAGTCCTGCTGCTGTAGATACTCAGTAGGACACCAAAGGTATATTAATGTTTGGCTGAAAGTAGAACCCGGTATTTACTCAGCTGTTAACCAGCTGGTTTAGGAAATTGTTGAGCCTTTTATAAAAATGGTTGATATATATAAGTATATGTAGGTAGAGAGAGCCTCATTCAAAAAATAAATAGAAAAGCATCCGCATTTATCTGCTTTGTTGAATAATAACAGTGCTTTTATTCTGTTTTCTACAGCATCTCCTTCAATCTGCATGCCCTTCACAGCAAGTGTTATCAAAATATATACAGATATAATCTACACAGCTATTACAATGTTGTGTAGATCTTCCTCGTTCTCCCCAGGCCAGGTCATCATTCAAAATTATCCCTCTGGATATCATTCCATTATTTGACCTGTACAACTGACAGGAAAAATGAAACATAAAGGAAAAAATGCTACCTGAATCACAGAAAAGGCAAGCTGTCTTTGGAAACAATGACACTAAAAAATGATTCCACATGCATGAATGCCTTCTCACTCTGTTTAAATGATTCCAGACACGCTGTTCTCCCTATCAGCTTTACAAGGGTGCATGAGCGGCATGCGTGCCGCTGGAATGGAAGTATATGCACAAAAAGACCCAGATGCTTACACACTCCCACACCCCTCCACCCTTGCATACACAGTCACTCAATGCTTGGATATTCTATCACTATGGGCTCTGAGCACCCATGAGGTTTTTGCTGCAGCATCACTTGTCAGTGACTTCTTGTGGCTTATGGTTTCAGAAACCATAAACCAGATTTTACTGCAAATGTTAATCCTGCTGCTCTGCCACCTCTGGAGTCTCACTCAAAGAGCCTCCACTGGAAGAGGCAATGGATCAATGTCACTCAAAAATGTTCATAATGGTCTTTTATGTTACAGCCGGTCCACCCAGCAACGTCCACACTGTACAGCCAGTGTCTGGCCTTCTTTGACAGCCAGATGTTGGACCAAGAAATAAAGACTCCTGAGTGGTGCCAACATCTCTTAATATGAGCTGAATGTAAGAGTTACTACAGCTGAGATGGGCTAAAATAGCTAAAGGTATGAATAAATTTCTTTACATCAGCTGTAGCTGTTTTGTATTAACAATGGATTACATGACTGCTTGTATGTGAAAGAAATCCCAGAGAGTTGTCACCAGCTCTGAAATTCTTCTCAGCTACAGGGAGCATTTTAGAGTCATTAATCTCATTGCTGCATGCAGTTTTCATGCCGTTTTCAGCTGTCGCTGTTAAACTCTCTATGCACTACCTGTTCAGCACCAAACAGCGCACAGACTGTTAACGAATAGCTGCGAACATAGTGAGGCATTTAGTGGCTGAAGAGCCAGATATTTCCCTCAGGAGTTGGTGCAGGGCAGAGGTTTCCAAACTGAGACGCGCTTCCCCAGGCGGGCTGTGGGAGAGTGGAGGGGGCGTTTCGAAGGAGAGACGTGCAAAATGAGGTGAAAGGGACAAGTGGATGCCTATGATACAGGTCTAAACAACTTATCAACGCGGTCAGCAGTTCCAACTGTAGCAGTGCATGTGACAACTCACAGAGGAAATTATGGTATTTCAAAAGCATATTTCGCATTTGCACTACATCAAATTTAAGTTTGTTCTCGGAGAATTAAGTCATTCAAATTTGAACACAAGGACATGATACAGATATTTTAGATCAAGTATGACTTAAACTTTCTGAGGATGCCATAATCTCAGAAGAAGTGTACATAAACCCACCCAGGAACTATGGCCTTGTAAAACTGCAGAACTTCCCTAAGACTCTTCATGTTGTTAATACTTTTTCAGTATGAAAGTAATCCAGCGGTAGTTGTATGTATATCTATTTATGCATTGCCAGTAGGTATAGCTAATATTCAATGCAGCCTAATTCTAATAGTGCACATTTGCCAAGATATAAATAAACATAGGCCAAAATTTGGGGTTCAATTTGTAGGCCGCATATAACCACTAAGTCCATGGCTCCCAAATTGACAGTTCCAAAACTGGTACATTATTACCCACCACATCAACAAATAATTATAGTAGGAGTTACAAAACCCGTAATATGTAAATAAGCAATAGTTTGCTAACTAATCCATCTTAAAAGCAGTGTGTACTGCTGAGCTAAGCTCTCCCCAAGCATTCAGAAAATCAGATATTGCAGGTTCAAGTTCAGTTGAGTGATCATTTATGGTTGTTTTCAAAATCTGTTGAATGGATACTGTTAATAAAATGCTGTGCTCTCTGTGAGCAGCTGTGAGCATAATGCTGAGATGGCACACACACACAGACACACACACAGACACACAGACAAAAACAAAACAAAAACATACTAATGTAAAACACATATGGTTTTCCACTACTCTTCCACCCCAGTTCTGTCTTTAAGAATGATAGCTTTTGATTGGCTTATTGCAGAATCTTGTGGGGGGACGCATAGGCACCTTGGAAACAACTCTTTATCCAGTTAGTGGTTACTGTGACCTACAACCAGCATGTTGGAAATCACCCAATTCATACACTGTGGGAGGTGACGAACACGGAACATTTAGAGCTACTGCTGCTGCTGCCTTTACCTTTTCCACTTTAACTGCCAGTTTAAATACTGTTAACAATCAGAATGGTTGGAATTTATAAAAAAACAAAACAAGGCAAACAAAACCCTGGCCACAAAGATGAAAACGTTTGGTGTAGGCTATCTACCAGAATTACCAACTGACAACATTTTGTGGAACTTTACTCAAACAATACATTGTTACAGTCTGTGGAACAAAATGGTCTGTTCGTATTCTCTGTGCTGTGGGTGATATGAGTGTGGTGCTCTGTAATTTATTTCATCTGTCTCCAGCCCCACTTGTCTCTTTCTTCCATGGAAGCACAGAAATAATCAAGGAGTTAAGCCAGTGTGCTTTGCATTTTATCCTCTTTTATGCTCGCAGGTATGACACTATAGTCTGTTGGCCACAAATCTCTTCCACTGCAACAAATCAGAATCTGTTGGTCTTCTTTGTACATTTTATCATTTTAACATGACATTTGATAGCCTTTATTAGTCATATCTATGTATGACACTCTACATTTACATAAACTCAGATTAGCCTAAATTAACAGTGAGATTATTACAGATTTGAGCCAGAATCATAAAAACAGCAAGTATTATTTCAGAAATTTGATACTCGATCTGCAACATTTTCCTTTCGCTCTTAGTGCTGGACAGTCCTTCTAGATGTAACTCAGTAGAAAAACATGTGATCCAGGCTGTGTAATTTGGAAGCCAAGTGGTGATTTAAATTCTTGATACCTGATGTATTTAATATGCCAGCTCTGAGCCTTGGCTTCTATTGTGCTCCATATTTTCCTATTCCAATGTGTTCAGTAAATTTTATAGTTGCAGTTGGGATAACTCAAGAGTGACTTACAGAACATAAAAGTAGTCAAAACATCATGCCTCCACATGTAAAGGTAAAAGTATGATTGTAATGATGATTATAATTTAACAAGGCTAACAACCTACAGCAACGCTCGTTGCTCTGCACAGGCTCTGTGGGGCTTGGAAATAAATGATAGTAAAACAAATGCTCACTCAAAGCACAGCTAAGACTGTTGGGAATTATGTTAGTTTTGCGGGTATGTCGTCATAAAACAGAGTACTGGGCAAATTAAAACCTTGACCTGATGGCGGTGCTAGATGAAAAGTTTAATTGCAATTCATCATGTGGGGAGCACAAATCTGTTTATCAGAGTTTTATGGAAATCTGTGCAGGGTTTGACAGGACATTTCACTGAAAGCCACAAATGTCAACCTTGAGGTTGACATTAAGATGTGTAAATTGGAAATGTCAGGGGCTGATCAAAGTCATCAGGGTTCTGTCACTGAGCCCTGATACCTCTGATGAATGTTTGTAGAACATGTTGCAGTCCATGTAGGCGTTTTGGATGTATCTCACTGGATAACTTTTAGCTGCTGGTGGCGCTAGATGAAAAGTCAGGGGATCACCAAAGTCTTCAAGATTTGTCTTCTTGGCGCCAGTGATATTGCTGCTGCATAACCTGGCAATCCATCCAAGAAATGTTAAGAAATCTCACTAAAACAAACGTATCAACCTCATAATAGTGATGGATTAAAAGTTAGGGATCCTCAAATTCAATAAGAATTGTCTTCTGGAGACAAGACCATAAATATCTATAAAATAAATAAACTAATGGCAATCCATTCAGTAGTTGCTGAGCTAGTATGTCAGTCTGGACAAAGTAATGGGCCAACAGGGAGACAGAGCCACAGAGCTGCTGACAGACTGACATTGCTATCCATAGAACCATGTTACCAGCAACATGTTATCAGTGCCAGCAGGACATACAGGTTCACGTTTCTCAGTTACTAGCTGTATAGTGTCAGTCACAGTTTTACTTTCTCCCCTTTTATGTTTCTTCACATTTGGAGCAGATTAAACCATGTGTTGATTCACAGTATCAAATCTTCCAAGTGCATGATAAATAGTCCACATTGTGCCAGTTTAGATGATGACTCAGATATAGATTTATAGTGTTTGTAGTCTGGGTTTGATTCATTTGCAACGTGCCTTCTTCTTTTTATGCATATAATAAAAATCATGGCTAACCAATCACAAAGAAACATAACAAGCCAAAGCAGGTTTTTATTTTTATTTGAGGAGACACCTGGAGCTTAAATTGTTACTGGTTTCATTTCCAGTGCTGAGTCGAGTCCTTTTTAAAAGGTCATAACAGTATGTGTCCAAACAGCTTTGAGTGCTACTGAAAACAAGTTCAAATTAGTCAAATACCGAAACACACACAGCTGGATATAGTAATTATGCCCATTTGTATTTGTGTAGGTTTGTTGTTTTAAAATGAGCGATGACTGGTCGCCCCAGTGAAATCTTTTATGACTGGAAACCCACTCATTAAGATGTCAAGGAATACACCTGTTGCAATAAAAAGTTATCCGGCAGACATTTGTTTAGTCACTAACTGTGAGCAATATCCTTTTAACTCCAGCACACTGCAGTATCTGGGCAGTCCTTAGCTAAACAGCTGACAGAAAAACTCTCCTTGTGAACGCTACAACATTCCTAACAGCTTTGAGGAACTTTCAAGATAGTTTTTTTTTTTTTTTAATATCTACCATATGAAGCTTTTACAGTTACTCCTTAGAGTTGCTAGGTCCTTGACTAACTTCTTGCTAACAGTAGTTGTTTTCTAAAACTGTTAGACCAATCCATGCAATGTGTTTGCAGGTCATAAAAACTAACGTAATAAACAAAACGAGGTTAAAGAACTCAACACGACCTTATTATTGGGTTTTATTCACATGACACGTAGTATTTTTATTGGATGTAAGGAATACTGACTAATGCAACTTAAAGAAACACTGAATGTTGCTGATCTGCGTTCACACATGGTGATTTGACAGATTTTTGATTTACTGGTTAACTTCCCAAACTCAGTCCAATTCCCAGATTTCATCCATTTATACACACAAAGCCGTTCTCATTCAAAACAAGTGCTTTTGTACAAATGTCACAATGAAACTGAATTCTCTAAATAAACGTTTTTTTGCAGACCATCAAAGAGATTTGCACTTGACCACAGCACACAAGAGTAATGAGGAACATTCATGGCTTGTGAAAACAGCAAGTCCCAGAGTGCTCTATATCCAATCAGGTTCATGAGTTCAGGCATTTTTAGTGCACAAGCCCTGTCCCCTCATCTGGCAAGCTCTCCACATTTTCTTTGTTTTTGCTCCTTATGTCTCTCTTTTTTTTTTTTTACTGTAATTTTTCTCATCTGTAACAGTGTCTCTCCTGGCTCTTTTTCACTTTATCTCCCTTAGGCTTATTTGTTACCCCCCTGAAATTATCACAGGACTTGCCTTCCTGATGGGTTTTGTCTTTGCTTAGATGTGTTTGTCAGTTCCCACACTGAGTGTCAGCCAGTCCCTCTACACTATCAGTTTTTACTGCTGACGGATGGAGATAGAGCTCAGGGAGACATTGGCTCATGAAATATGAGATGCTTGGGGCATGTTTAGATTATCGCAGACCTCTCCACTTAACTCGCCATTACACTCAGTTCAGTGCTGAGAGGAAAGACATTTATCACACGGATTTGACAAGAAACACGAAAAATAGGATAGCCTTTCTTCATATGTGTCACTCCTCTGGTGCACTCAGAGATTGAGCACTGATACCCGAGCTCCACTTTTGTAACTCAGACCTAGCATTCACCTTCTCCCTAGAATTTGCACTTTTTAATCACGCAGTTTTGTTCTGTAGGATACTCTCTGGATATATTTAAACAATTACATGTACATTATACTTTGGTTATGCTTGCAACGCTGCTTGCTATTTCATCTAAAGTGTTCTCATTTTAGATGTTCATAACATTCAAATCTAGTATAGCATGTTTTAATCTGGTTATATATTTGATTACTTTTAGTCATGCTGCCTACGTCACTCTTAGGATGACAATGTCTGTCTGTTCATTAGTCTTCCTTTGTGATCCAGAATATTGCAGCAGCTATAGTACTGGTGTTACCAACAGGTAAAAAAATGTTCACTTTCACAAATTTGCAAACAATTAGCCCTATAGCTGGATCAAATTTTTAAAAATGGTTAAATACTTTATGTTCAGATCCTTGCAAAACTAAAGACATTCTCATCATCCTCTTTTGTACTTTGTGCCTAGTGTTAATTAGTAAATGCTAGTATTCTAGCATGCTAAACTACAGCAAACATAGTAAAATTATACCTGTTAAAAATATACTGCAAATTTGTAGCCAAAACTTTGCAAAAGAAAATGTGAATTTTCACGTTTCCATACACAACTGTTAGGAGTTGACTTTTCAAGATAAATCGCAGGTAGTGATAATTTTCCATTCAGAAGAAGAGGGTGCAACAAGGTGACAATGTTCACAATGACAGTTAAATCTTAAAAAGTAGAAAACCTGATGGAAATGTTGCATTTCTGTTTGTCTCGAACAAAGTTGAAGGATATTACAATCTTATCATCCTTCCACACAGATCTCTTTTGGTCTGCTACAGTTTTTCATCTCTACAGGAGACGTTAAAGTTAGATGGTTCCAGAAGGTCATGACTTATTCTTTTAGTACGTATCCGTTGCACCATGTCACGTTTTCATAACATCAACTTGTCCACCAAATTTCAAAGTGAAGGCATGCCTATTATGTCCTAAAAATCTCCCACTAGGCGAATCTGTCTGGATGCCACATGCAATTATAATAAGCATGCCCAGACAAACATAGGTTCCACCAGTGGTTATGTGGTGTGTAATGTTGAGTATGCATCCCTCTCCACCCCCAACCACACACTCACTTCTTGCTTGATAATTAATAGCACTAAGGAGCTCTTGATGTTGGGCTTTGCTCATGATGTGGTAGAGGATGTCTGAGTTCAGAAGTGACATTTGCAACTTTGTTCTTTCTGCAGATTTTTAGGCATACTCATGAAGGGAACCATCCCTCAGCTAGAAGAACTGGGTTCATGGGCTCCCTGTTTACCAAGGAGAAGTAACCTCCAGTACCCACTTAATGTCTGCCTGCTCCAGGGTTCCAGACTGCTATGTGGAGGAAGCAAATGAGAAGAGATTTGTCCACAGTCATCAAGAGGTATCATACTTCCTGGACAGTGTTTAGCCTTTCATAAGCATCACAATAAATGTACAAACACAGAAAAACTGTCATATACTGTATAGTTAGGAGAACATTTATTTTTTAAAGTAAAACACAAACTCAAGCAACTGTAAATCTGCAGAGAAGTGTGTCATTCTACAGTTTCTGGAAAGCAGCAAGAAGAATTTTTCTCTGAAACTTGAAAGTACTCAGATTAAAGGCTGAATAGAAAAACAGCCACTGGGCAAGATTTTCAAGTCATTCTTGTTTTTATAGCTGCTCAGGGCTGAACCGTGCATGAAATAGAGACTTATTATAGAATAATTATACAATGTCATCTTGTTACACACTGGCGGTAAATGCATCAGTTGTAATAATATGCTTCCAACTACAAAGAGTCAAGCCTTACTGAAAATTGTAGTCTGTCCCAGAAACAAGAATCTATAAAGATCTGTTGAATGCCTGTCAGTAGACTTTGTTACTGTAGCTGTCTGAGCTCTGAAAATAAAACTGAAGACTTTAGTTTTGGTTGTTGAGTTCCCTCTGCCAGTGCAGGAAGGCTTGTCAAATTAAACCAAACATTTTTGGCCACAGTCCCAGGAAGGAACATGAACAAGAGGCTCTGACATTTTCTGCCAAACAACATTAAACAAAATGACAAAAAAAAGCCAACCAACTCCCAGAGAGCCAATATACACAGCCAGGCTGCTTTCACCAAAGTTCCTCTGCTGCTGAGCATGGATAAGGTCATCAAACAGAGTAACAGATAAACAGTGCAAACAATGCAAACAGTCCAAAATGACAAAAAATAGCCACAGAGCTCAATCAAACTGCATTTTAATGAGTGACACTTTCTGTTCATATTTCATTTTTGATTGAAAGAGCATCTGCTCCAAATATCACAATGAAACCTTTTAACACTAGCAGTCAGTTATAAACTTTCTGATACGGTGTTTCTGTCTTGTGCTTAGGTTTTTAGCCATTGTGTAGAATGGCTATATCGCTCAGTAATCTGTACCTCCACTGTGGTCCAAAGTCAGATATCTCAAAAACAATTCAATGGGTTGCCGTGAAATATTGTGCAGAGGATGAAGCTTGTTGACTTTGGCGATTCCCCAGTGTTTACTGTAGTGACAGTAGCAAGCCAAATTTTTAAATGTCTAGGCTTATACCATATTGATTTTCACAAACCTTTGCACAGACATACAAGCTTTCTGAACAATGACTTTACATCTAGCAACATCAGGTCATGTGACCAGATACCTGCAAAACTAATTACATTCTCATTAGTTTCAGCTGTGCTTTTCTTGCCAATTAGCAAATTTCTGTCTGCTGACACACTAAGATGACGACCCTAGGACCCGCTAAGCATCAGCATGTTGCCATTGTTACTGTGATGTTAGCATGCCAACATTAGCATTTGGTTCCAAGCTCTACTGTGCCTAATTACAGCCTCTCAGAGCTGCTAACATGGCTGTATACTTAGTTATCTTCATTCATACTTCACAGAGATTCATTAGCCACAAGACAGAAAGTTTCCAGTTTACATTCACATGGGGGAAAATCATGGTTTCAAAAATAAATGAGAAACATTGTTCCCCCAACTCAGGAGATGCCACCAAAATGCCCATGAGCAAGAGCTGCACTGTGGCCAAGAATAGAAAACTGTGGTTTTTACAAAGCTGCAATCAGATTAAGGCTAAATGTGTTTTAATATCTGCAAATTTCCCTGTGTAAATGTTTAAAAATGGCATGACCATAATAAATTACACCCTGCAGTCTAAAACAACTAATCTGAGCTCCACTAAAATGTGAACACTGACAAACTTTTTAAATGTGATTTTTTTTTTTTTTTTGATATTTGTTTCTGATTTGTATCATTATAAAGCAGACAAGGAAACCAAATCAAGGAGAGTCAAGTACTCTATAGCTACCACCTGTGCTTCCATTCTTTGTTCCAGTGATATTTAACCATTAATTATGTGCAGGCCTCACAGGCCCCGCTGTCCAAACAAAATCTAAGGGCTTCTTGAAGAGTATGGAAAACATTTCATTTAAGCCTCAAAGGCTTTCATATTAGCCACTGGTTCATGTAGGGGCTATTGAGGCATTTTTTTCACAATATTAGACTCAGGAAAGTCTAAAATAACAGCTCCACCTGACCATTAAATTTGCATTTAGTTTGTTGCATCTGTTTTATTGCCATTTCCCCTCCATGCCCATTCTTATAAACATGTTTCTTGTAGGGAACGCTGATAAAATAAAAAAAATAGTACAATATTCTTTACTTATTGTGTTATTTCCCTTAAAATCTTTGTCCTTAACTCAATAAAGAAAGTTGTTTAGGAGTGCTTCTAGGATTGTGGGTTTACTGTATCTGTCTGGAATATTGCACTGTATCCTGTAATTAGGTTGCACTGGGGAGGCAGGGATGCTGGCTTGATGCTGTTCAGACCTTTTCCAAAGCACTGTGGGCGGGGTCCCGCGACAACTTTCCTGTTTGGTGATTTGATGAACGGAGGATTTTCCAATGTCACTATCTTGCAGTGGGGTTGTCCTACCTCCTGACTGTGCACAACTCTCAGGGAGCGGAGTGGTTTGCGCTTTTTTTTTTCTTCAAGAAAGCCTTATACCATCAGTCTGAGAGCTGAGCTTAAGGGGGAGCGGATCTGAAGGGCCCAGTGTTGCTGTGAGAGGCATCTTCATACTTTCACACATGGCGCTGTAGTATAAGCACATTTTTGTGGACTGTAGAAGGGACCGAATTTTGTTGAAAGTCGCCCGTTTTTTGTACAGCTGCGGGCGCTCACCATGAAGATGCAGAGGTGGGCCACCAGGTGGAAAACGAAAAGGTGGCTATGGAATTCAACGCTAACCGCACTGGTCACATTAATATTAATTCTACAAGCAGACAATGTCAGAGCAGGTAAGAAGCTGAATGTTTCTCTACACTTTAGCTACTGTTCCAACTCTAGGGCATCCCGGACGGCGTGAGAGCGTCACGCAGGCTGGCAGACAGCCCGTAGTACTCTTAGGTAGTATTCAGAGAGTGGCTGTCAACTTTTAGTTTGAAGAAAGCCAGCAGCTGACAGTCGAACTCGCCTTACCTCAGACTGTACACCTTTTGAATTGCTAATTAGATCATATCCAATAGAACTTTTTTCACATTTTTTTATATTGGAGGCCATTATAAGAGAAAGTCGTTGGCTTTTAAAGTCGACTTTTAACTGACATCAAATTGAGACTATTTAGTATGACTACACCTGGTTCTAGTAACCTTTAAAGGCATCTGCTTTGTAACCACGGTTGTCTCTATTTTGTTGAGGAATGAAGTTATTGCCTTTAAAACTTGCATCAAACTTTAACTATGTATGTGTGTACGTGTTAATGTGTCTAAATTTATATTGGGCTGATTGTCATATAAAGTTTATTGTTAATTAAACTGACAGAGATGTGGCTCTCTCTTAGTTTCCTTTAATTGGGTAAACCCAGGTGTGGTCAACAAGGAGCGGGCTGACGGTGATGATTTATTGACACAAATATGTAAGCGTAAGAACTGTGGGTTTAAAAAATGATCAGTGATGAGGGTGTTCATTAGTGGTCAATACTGGTGTAACACGCTCTGCTACATAGTATCAGAGGCTAAGATTATCACAGGAGAAGCACTGTGTATTGCATTCCAGTTCATCACTTGGCAGTACCACTGGAAAGCGTCATGGTTTTATGCGCAACTTTTACGCACGACATTTGGTATTAATAATAAAAGCGCACGGGTACATAAAGTTTTTCCAAAACATCATTGCAAGCAAAATTACAAAAAGCACGAATACGATCAGCACAATTTCTGGTTTCTTATTTTGTTTAAAATACTTAAAATCTCAATCTGACCGCTGTCAGAGTTCACAGTATCGCAGTGTTACTGAAAAAAAACATTGGTTTTGTGATGAATTTTGAAAGTTTATATAATGCGCTAGGCACAGGAATGGGAGTGAAATTCATATTCTGGCCTGCAGGATGACGATTCTTCCACGTTATCCGAACCCTTATTAAGTCCAAAAAGGGGCGTTAATGGAAAAAAGAATATTTTCCCTGCTTTAAAAAACGTGGGTCACATTAACTACTTGCTTTGTCTGTGAAATAACAGGCATCCATACTGTACTGTGGCTTTAGCCAAGATAAATCTATTTGGATGCATGTTGCTGTCTAATAGTTTGAGGTTTTGACATAAGTTTGTATGCACCCTTTTAGATATGGGCCTTCTTGTATCAGAGCCATAATAATGACAGAAATAAAATTATTATTATTTTAGTATTTTGTAGCTTCATGAAATTGTTAGTTTATCAGTGGTATGATGTATTGCATCCTGTGTAGACATTTTCAGACTTAAGTCCGTCACCTTTTTGGACCATTATGATTCATTGTTATAGATAGAGAGATTGAGTACTTTATTAATCCTCAAAGAGAAATTTTGGAATTTTAAGTGCTGTATAAATCCAATCATACACAAAGAAACATTTCAACAGGGGCCTCACAAAAATGAAAAGATCGCGCAGGCAAATTGCAGAGTGGCATGACTTGCCCAGTGCCCATCTTTCTTCACTCTGACTGATATTTTAAGTAACTGTAATTGCATGATGTGCTAGTGAACATTTACAGGCTTTCCTATGTACTTTAATTGTTGCCTGTGTTGCCAGCTCTCAGTAGATGGCAGTGACACAGAAAAAAAAAACTGACAAGATGCTGCTGCACGACCACAGAGCCCCAGAGACATTAAGTCAGAATGTCATGGATTTAAAAGTTAATCACAAGCCTAAACTTAAACATCAGACTGTGTGACTCTGATGAGTTATGAGACAGGCAGTGCTGGAAATTTTCCCAATATAGCTGAAAATGGTATTTTAATGTGTTAGGGTCTGCTGGTTAGATTGTTTTAATAATTTTAACAGAGGTTTCTCATGTCACGACATGCCTCACTGCCTCAGGGGAAATCACACTCCTTTGTCTTGTTAACATGACTGATGGTATATCAAAAGTCCCTGACTGCAGTCAAGAAGATGTGTCATTAAAAATCTGACAGACTGACAAATTAGCCCTCAGATAAGACTGCGGAAAGACTAAAACTGCACTGGTACCTTGCAGCAGGAGACAACTATCTTCTTAAAAAAAAGCAGGAGACAACTATCTTCTTTCTCTTGTGGTTTCTTCCTTATCATTAGAATAAGGTTTCTATCTTTTTAAGAGTGGAAGGTTCTTTTTCAGGATGTGTTGAGGGTATAGCATGTTGGCTCAAACTCCTACAAGACTGAAAAGCTTTTGAAGAGCTACAGTATGTCTGCACATTTGGGCTCTTTAATGGTTTTGGGATATTGCCTGTTCTTCAGGGCTTCTGTTAAGCGA